AAATTTTATTCCAACGTATTTCTATTTCCCAATTTTCGTCATAATGTATTATTCTTTTAATTAAAATTAAAATTAACTTGCACTTTTAATTAAAAACTTAATGACACTTACATGTAATGTAGTAGGTGATTTATAGGATGATGTACGTAATATACTTTTTAACGGGAATTGTCTTCCAGCACATGCACGTATCCTTGCCGCTTCACGTTGTCCAATTTTTTATCGCATCTGGTGCCATTTTTGGATTTCGATCACCAACCAATAGCAATACTCGATTACTACTGCATATATTAAATAAAATTTATGCAAAAATATTGAAGAAAAAAAACAAATTTAAATTCTGAGAAAATTAATAAAAAAATTAAAAAAAAAGAAATTATAATTCTAAATTTTGCACAAAATATTTTTTTAAAAAAAAGAATAAAAATGAATAGATGAAGAAATTATTTAGAAAATGCAAAATAATTCCGAATTTAACTTTTGTCTTATAAAAATATTGAATAAATTTATGAAATGTAAATTGAAAAAAAAAGAAAAGAATTAAGATAGAAACAGAAGCATACATAGAAGTTGAATCTTCAGGTTCTTTTCTTTCAACAACAGTGGAAACGCAAGATGCACTCCTTAAACCAGCAATTATCCGTTCCTTTGCATCAGCTTTCGAATATACCTGATATTATGATAAAACGATAAAAAAATAGACAAGATAATAGTTTTAATTTCAAATTTAGTCTTTAAATAAATAATAAATTACCCGTACACCATCAACATCAAGAATATGATCACCTTCTTGATAGCATTTACTTACAATACTACCATCTTTACATTTCGTTACCACAACCTGATCATGTATTTGCTGGAAATTACTATAAATTGAGGAATGCTTTGCACATAAGTATATCTGATATTTCCTATCATTTTTATTTCTGATAAAGATGATAAGAGAGAGAAAGAGAATGAGAATGAATGAATTGAGGAACAAAAAAAAAAAAAAACAATGCTAATATATAAATATCTTGATGATAATGATAAGCAAAATATATTAATATTCTAATTTAAGCATTTGAATTTATAATCAAACTAATTAAAGTGATTAATTTCAAATATAAATAATAATTATTTTAATATAGATATAATTTCATAGAAATGAATTACCCTAACAGATAGACCAAGTTTCATTCCATCGATACGATGTAAGTAAGCAATGAAGTATTGATGATGCCTTTTTGCAACAAGTCCAATTTGACGAGCTCTTATATCGGTTAACGGTGTCTTCCATAATTTTCTTTCCACTTCTATTTTTACCATTGGAAATAAACGCTTTATTAACTGCAAAAAAAAAAAAAGAAAAAAATCGATAATGTCATAATTAGATAGAATAAAATTAATTTGATTATGTAAAAAAAAAAGTTGAAATTTTGAAATAAAATTTACATAATTTTTAAAATTTTCAAAAATTTATCAATTGAAAATTATTTTAACACCAAAATAAATGCATATATACAAACAGGTGATAATTATCTAGTTAATAAATTTTGATTTTAAGTTTTTTTTAAAAAATATTTTGTGTTTTTTTTCTTGTCAATCATAATTCAAATTTATTAATAATTTATATAATATTAATTGCTTACTTACATCGTAAAATTGAACCTGATCTTCGACAATGACATCATTTATGGAAATAATTACATCACCAGGATACAGTATTCCATCAGCTCGCATTTCTTTCTTTACATCTAATACTGTTAAATTCTTACCAAATTCAATTCCAAACTGTAAAAGAATAAGTTATTTCATAATATTTTTTTTTCTTTTGTCGTGACAAAAATCAATAATATTATAATTAGACAGTATGAAATAAATTTAATTAATTAGAAAAAGTTGAAAATTAGTAATTTCAAATATTTTAAATAATAAATATCCTTAAAATCTTAGCAATAAATATTTTTCAGCACTTTTTAAAAAGATTCAAATTTGTATTATAATAAGGAAAAATTTATAAAATTAAGAGAAATAAAAAGCGTTTTTTTTTTTTAAACCAAATAGAACATTAAGTAGAAAGCATTTATTTTAGAAATTCAAATTTTCCTTTGTTTTTTCTTTAATCGATCAATTATTTAATTAAGGAAACAAACGAAAAAAATTCATCTGAATTCAAATTTTCTGATTATTTCAAATCAATAATAATAAATAAACAATCGATTAAAAAAAAAAAATGGATTGTAACCGGTTCTCCCTCTTCATAATCAATTTGAACGGTGATCCGATATGTTGGTGGTACGAAAACTGATGCTGTAGCATCATCCTCAAAAATATCTTCTTCTTCACTTCCATCAACCATTTTTCTCTTTGTTCATTGCAATTTTGAAGAAATAAAAAGCTGAAAAATGTAATCAATTTATAGCAAAATAAATTTCCATTTTACTTGTCACATTAATTCTTACAGCTTAGCATCTCGAGAAGTAATAATAAATAATTAATTACAAGAAATTTATATTTACAGAATTAGAAAAAAAATAGGAAAGAAAATTTTGCTTATTCTTCTAATTTTACAATTTCTTTTTTTTTTCACCTGTAATAATTTATCAACGAGCGTTACACATGAATGAAATGAAATAAAAACTAATCTCAAATTGAATATGACTAAATGAATATAATAAAATTAATTCGGAAAAAATAGAAATTGTAAATTGATCTCCGAAAAAAAAATTTCCAAACATATTAATTGGAAAATAAAATATTGGTTTTGAATTATACAAACAGAAATGAAATATTTGTAAAATTATTAATAAACATCGTATATTTCTCTAAACAGTTAAGCGTAACGTACGTCAAGAGTAACGTATAAGATATGAGAAAAGTTCGGAAAAATTAAAATTGGAAATCGTTTGATCTTATCTGTATCGTTTGTTAACAAAATAAGTTAATTGTTCTCGAGTTATTGTGCTAATTTTAGAGCAGAAAGATAATGACTGTATGACTGACTATCATCGATTACGAAGTACAAATGAATCATTTCATTTGTAATATATAATTCATCTTTGTACATTCTCCTCTTTATGATTAATTTACATAAAATATTTAAGGTAAAATGAAACAATCAACCTATTAAACACCTTAACTTGTTAGAAAAAGAAAAACTCAAATTTGAGCAAATACGTTTCTAATTTATATTTCGATAATTAATGATTGCAAAATGAAATGATAAAAGATTTTGCAATACTTAATT